CCGCGTCCCCCCCCCCCCCCCCCCCCCCCCCCGGCCCCCTTTTGAACGTGAGTGGCCGGCACACCATATGTCTGTCAACTCATATACAGAACTCCTTCTGCTGAAGCATGTGATACTACGGGATACTTCGAAGCATTAGAATCCTTCTAGACGTTGCCATCAGTTGTGCGACTGCTGTTTCTGCTGGTTGGCAACTGACCATGTCGTTCGGCTACTCGGGGACAGCTGCATGCCATCGATCAACGCCACTGACAGCGCAACCTCAACGGTTCACAGCCAACTCTCATCCGCAACAAAGACTTGTCACCGTCGCCGCGCCGGGGCGCGCAACACGCAGACCAGGCGGACAAAAAAATAAGCACCACAACAGCAGCTTTCACACAACCGAAAAATAGAACTTCGTGATTGCCATCAAGATTTCCGCTTGTGAGGGGGAGTGGAGTGCTACATTCTACTTCGTTCGGCGTGTCGTTGCGTGCGCACTCTGTAGGGAAGTGCGCACGCAACGACACGCCGAACGAAGCTAGCCCTCTCCTCTGCCCATATTTACAGCAGGTTGTCTCTTCGGCGGAAACACAACAAACTCAACACAAGGAACACTCCCAAAAAGTTGGGGGAAAGAACGTGCCAGATTAGATCAGAAAACACGCATGCACGCACACACGGACCACAGGAACGAGACGTACATGACCCCAAGTGCGCGATTCAAATAAATGGGGGAGCGTCATTAACCACGGGGAAGGTCGAAAGGGCTTTCATTCGTTCCGACTCTCCTCTCCCTCGCCCCCTTTTCCCCTTGTCTCTTTATCGTCGCCGTAGAATACTAAACGCTCAAAATCAACTCCTACGGTATTGTCAGGAGACGGCGGGCAGCGCGGAGTGGGGGGGGGGGGTAGGTTAACCTCTGGAACTTTTGCACCGTCCCGAAATCAACGAAAAAACCACCCATGCAAGACATTTGAGCTACTGCTACGTGAGGCGGATCCAACGGCCGTTCCGAAGAGCCAAGCAGTGCAACCCGAAGGGCTCCGCAAGATCAGAAACCGACAAAGAATCCGCAAGATCAGAAACCGACAGTGACGGACCGAAGAATTCAAATACCTACCACCTCTTTACCACTTTGATTCTCGGGATACCCTAGACAAACTTGACCCTGACCAATTCGATCGGTCGATGGGCCCAACCATAATCTGTTCCCTGCGCCCTGCCAACCCCGCAAGAATCCGACAAATCTCCTCTAAAAGAGCGCATATTTGCGAATTGTGTACGCGCGACACCAAGACCTCCCGCGGACTTCTCCTCGTCCCGCCTCCCTCCTTTTCCCTCAGCGCACTACCTGCGGCTGGCGCGTTGCGTCCAGTCCAGGACAGCACAACTCTGATAGTATTTGTAGACAGATGAGTCCCAGAAGCTGAGACTTCACGTGCCACACACACAATACATCACCGACATAAACACACCACAACAATCCTTGCCACTCAAGACACAGCCCCGCCGCCCTCTCGCACGGTTCGCGAAGGGGCACTCTCTCAGCAAGTCAAGAAACTGACATGATTTCTTTTTTCTCCCGTTACCCTCCGATGTAAGTATGATTCCCGCCCAGCTTCGCCCCCCGCGGTCGCCACCGGCGCCGCCACCGCCGCCCCAAAAGTTAGTTACGCCGTCAATAGAAACAGGTGAGCGTCCGGTGATGTGGTTGGATGTCCTTCTTGATCCTGTCGCCCTCGTGCCACAGACGCCAGTCTATCTCCACGCTGGTCACAACGACGTTTCGCCTTGCGAGCGCGGCTCTCAGACCCTCCACCGCCTGGACACACATCGCGCGGATCTCCACCTCTTCCTCGCTGCCCGGCTGCGCACAAAACAGTTTTTTTTTTCGTTTTCAAGTTTTTTTTTAGTTTTGAGAATCTCATATGCATAGGAGGAGGAGGAGGCGTGCAGCCTCTATTGCAAATCGTGCGGTGCGGTTTCAATTTTCTCCACCAACCAACCCGACCTCCCCCGTCCAATATCCAATGACAAAATTGCCATAATTAACTGCAATTCTTCATGCCCCAAAGTGGGCACGTCTGCTCACGTAAATCTGGTGCGCGTTCGCCGCGCATGTAGGGTTGTTTTGAGGTGGTGAAGATCGGCATTTCTTCCGCAAACTGCAAACTGACGAGCGGAAAGCCCACCTTGGCCATTGCGGACATCGTTGTTGGCACGTGAGCACTGCTGTTGCGGGAATGAACGCGTCTCGGTTTTCTCTACACACGTGTGATCTCGGTGGTGTACCCATGATCGTGGGTGGCGTGGCGCTCAGCGTGGTTTGTGGCAGACACATGGATAAGCTCGTTGTGCGGTACGACATTCTATTCCCTCTATCATGGCCGAAATTCTATATACGGGCGTGCTCAAAAGACACCTTGTTCCTCTGACGATTGATTAACCCCCGCGTGTGGGCAAGGTGCAGGAAGGGAGATTTCCTACTACTACCGCACGTGCAGGGAGTCTCACTCGAGGAGTAGCGACTGTCCAGGAGGAAATAAGTGGAAATATACAAGGGCGCTTCGCGGCGTACCGCTTCGCGGTCGCCGCTACCCTCGTAGGTTCAATGGCGATGTCAAGTGTGTGCGGGTGGAGTTTTGGAATGAGAGATACGAACAAGAAATGCTGCAAAGAGGAAGACAGTCCGAGGATAGCGGTATTTACTTACTCGGAGTAAGAAATTTGTTGGTAAGAAACAATGGCTCACTTTCCACGACAAAAATAAGAAAATGGGGCTAATCACAAGTTGTAAAAAGCTCAACCTGGGCCACACAATAGGGAAGGGGAGTGAGTGAGTGAGTGTGTCGCACAATAAAACTTGAGAAAGATACACCAAGCAAACAGCTTTTTTTCTCGCTCTCTTCCCCCTCTCCCATGTGCTACCCACCCTCTCAGCGAGACGTTGTTTAGTATGTAGGTGAGTAAAGTTCGGTTCTTCTAGGGTGTGTGGTCTTCGCATGTATGTGAAAAAAGTCGTTGAATCATGTTCAGAAGAAAAAAAAAAGTAGACTACTTCCATGAAACGGCGGAACAAACAACATGTTTCATGTGTTTTTTTTGTCTCGGGCGGGTGTAGTTTTGCAGGCAACTGTGCGCACGACACAGCCCGCTAGCCCCCCCGCTTTTCGTCGGGATCGAGAGGTAGACGCCCTACACGTTGTCTCATGTCATGCGGAGACTCGGAGGCTTGGTTGGCGTGTGTGGTAAAAAGGGTGTGTGGCGTGTAGCCAGCGCACACCCACCACGTCAATCAGCCGCTTGCAGAGTGTATGAATGGCCTGCGATGTCACGATATCGGGGCATGATTGGTGAATCCATGGTAGATGTCGGACACGCGACTTTCTGCCCTCGCTAGCGCTGCACACAGTCCGCCCCGAGAGCGCGCGGCACGACGGGAGAGCCCTCGAAACACAGGGCTATCGGTACAGTCGAGGTCCCTGTTTAAGGCCGCTTATTTAAGGCTGGTTGCCCTGTTTAAGGCCGGTGAAACCCCTTGGCACCGATTTCGTCTGTTTAAGGCCGCCACCGGCCTTAAACAGGGAGGTCCCTGTATAAGGCCGCTTTGGGCCTCTTCTCACACTCAATAAGGCCGGTTGTGACGCACACAGGCTCATTCAGCCACCTCTTGCAGTCCTACGTGCAGCATCCAGACCCCCACCTTCGCACGCACGACAGAAAAACACCTTCCGCACCCCTACCACGCAACCACATGTTCAAATACAGCACATACTGCTGTAGGTTACATATGGGCAGTAAGAATATATTGATATATTCATCTGGAGGTTGCTGTACGTATGTCACGTACGTGCGGAGTAATCGTAAGTGCGGAGTAGCTGATACCGATTGGATATGTAACGTAAAACATGAAAAGTTCGGAACATGCTTTCCAGCGAGGAGTCTAAGCGAAGGGTTTATGCGTACAGTACTACAGTCAGTATTTATGCGAGGAGAAGTTCAGGAATAATTTGGGGTTGGCAAAGCGATGCCCACATCGCCCACTCCCAACTTCGCCCACCCTCTGATTCACAGCCCTGGCAGCAGCTGCGGTATGTTTGTGCGAAGCAACAAGTAAACACAGCAGTAAAGGGTATACCATGCCGTGTGCGGCTGGTGAGCGGTGTCTTTTGCAAGGACGGACGCCGGTAGCCCCTGACGGTCACGAATGTGCCTCCTATACTTGATGGTTCATTTTCGGCGAACCTTGGGACTCTATTTTTTTTGTCATGCATGTATTAGCTTGTGTAAGATTGTAGTCGGGAGTGGGGGGGCTGGATAGAAGCGAACTTGTTATATGTGACGAAAACAAAAAAAAATCCATATGGGCGAGGCGCTTGATCGAACATCGTTCAACTATACAGCCCCGTTGCTGCTCTACAATAAATGCCCACCCAAAGCGGGGCCATGACACTGAAATTGCGCACCCCTGCTACCTCCAGCCGGCATGTTGTAGGCCTTCTTCATGCCCATGTAAGTAAGCTCTGTGTAGAGTTTAGATGCATCCTTCAACAACTCAAGAATTCTCAATAAGGCCCGGGTACCGGCCTTATTGAGGAATTGTAGATCCTTTTTAAGACCGATATCGGCCTTAACAAGGGACGTTCCGAATAAGGCCGGGTGCCCTGTTTAAGGCCGGTAATTTGCCGTGGCACATGGCGGCCTTTAACAGGGACCTCGACTGTAGGTGCAAGTCTCGCTTCGAGGCGAGGTCTACGGGCGGAGAAACCGCGAAAAAAGGGCTCTAGGCTCACTAGAGCATCAGGATTGCATTTCCTGCGATCTCGAGAGCCCTCAGCCCGTAGGAAATCCGTCTATAGGTCTACATGTGAAAGGGATACGCAGCGGTGTCGAGTCCCTTGCACAAACAGAAGCAAAAGGAAGAGAAGAGAGATCGGGCAAAACAGAGAAACCAAGAAACGACAACGCAAGTTTTTTGCACAAGTCACACACCCACAACCAAAGTTACGCCAAAAAAATCCAAAACAAACCGGACGAAACCCACCCACCACACAGAGCCACCACCCAACACTGAGAACAACCCCAGATTATCACATGATTTTGAACTAGTTCCCCGCCAACCACTCATTACTCACCTGCAGGCGCTCGAGCCCGTCGATCTTCGTCTCCAGCGCCTGGCTGTACTCCAAGACGCCGAGGTGCGCCAGGACTTGCGGCACCCGGTAGTCCGCGAACATGGTGAGCTCCCCGATGTCCTCGAACGCGTATAGGCTGCCGGAGCCGGGGGGTGGGCGGCCGTAGGCCGCCCACAGGTCCGCCGCCAGGATCTGCGCGCGCTTGTAGAAGAAGCACTGCCTGCCCTGGTGGAGGCTCTCGTCGCGGAAGCCCGGCAGGAGGCAGGTGAGTAGACGCACCAGGCGGGCCGCGGAGCGGGCCGCCCGCGCGACCAGGAGCGCCGCCTCCCCGCCGAAGTGCGCCTGGAGGACGCACCCCAGCTCCCGGAGCTTGGCGGCGCGCTCCGAGATCTGCGGGATGTCGAACCCGCAGAACCATTGGCGAATCGTGTCCTCCGTCGCCACCGCCAGCCGGTCAGCGGAGAGGGCGAGCGGGTCCCGCTGCACGGCGGCCTTGAGGCCGAACGCCAGGTGCTCGTACTCCAGCCCGGGCGTCGGCCAGAAGCAGAAGTTCAAGCAGTCTGGTTTTTGCGTCGTGATTTTTTTTTTTTCGTTTTGGAGTGATTTTAGATCCGTCCACCCCGGCGTCAGCGGCCGCAGATCAACGCACAAACAGGCCAGAAAAAGGGTAGAGCAGCGAGAACAAGGGGGGGGGGGGAGGGCAAGAGAGGCGGCCGGGAGGGGGTTGTTGTGTGAGATGCGGGAAGGGAGGGAGATAATACAGTCCTCGTCATTTTTCTTACAACCCACCTAGAGGGACGCTGCCGGCAGAGGGAACGGGCGGGGGAAATGGTGCCCCGTGCTTGGTGCATGCCAATACCTCTCAATGACACACGCAGGGCGCATAGCCACCGCCAAGACTCAGGCAAGGCATCGACTGAAGTACGAAAAAAATGACGACAAACCCGCCGAACTAGAGAAGAGAGAGGTTGAGAACATAATAGGTTGGCAGCCCGCTTACGTAGCTTAGTAGGCAGAGGATTCTGTGACTCCACATTGTTGTAACATTTGTCCGTTCATGCACGTAGGAAATCAGGTTCTGCTTGGTGCAAAAATCATGAATGCAGCGTGCACGCCGTGATACACACCAACCGAGAGTTGCGAGAGGGGGAGGGGCGAGAAGAAGAAGAGTCACGGAGAGAAGGGACATATATTGGATGCTATCCCGGAAAATTGGCAACGAGCAACTCTTCTCTTTGGGTTTCTCTTTGGGTGCGGCACGGGGACGGACGAAGCTGAGGGTCGACCGCTGCCCGGGAAACATCGGAGACCGTCACAGCCAGTTCTGCTTCTGTCAGTTTCGTTCGTGATGGCCGTCAAAAACGCAAGTACCCTAAAGCGCTACCAAATAGGGTCAGGAAGGACGAAAGGACGGTAGGGCAGCAAACAAATGCAGTCAAACTAGCCAATTAGCGATGGAGAGGTTTAACATTCTGTCGGGCAGTCGCCCCAGCATTTTTTCATGCTGTCAAAGTTGAACGCCTTTGTGTGTTGTTTGGCATGGGTTCTGTCAGACGCCGTTTGACGGAACACACCGTCCGAAGAGGAGCCACAACCAGCAAGTTGTTCAACACACGCGACATAGCGGAGGCTTCATCCCCGCCAATCTTGCCGTTGACCTGCAGGAGATCAACACAACTTTCAAGGTTCCCCTTCGGGGGTTTGGTGACTTTCCTCCCGGGGGCGACGCAAGTGGACATGGCCAATATCATCTCGGTAGTGCCGGTTTTCCGTACAAACTGCAGAATCGTCATATTTGCGGGGCAATTATATTGTTCTCACCGTCACTTTTCGTGTGTGCGTGAGTGCGTCCTTTCAGGCTAAAGGGGTCTTTGCCGCAGATCCTACTGCGGTAACCCGCTGCGTTCGATGCGCCCGCTCTTACGTTTTGGGTACCGTGTTGCTCGTGGTGTGTGGGGACATTCATGTGTGCATTGTGCACCAATCAAGAGTCTATCTGCTTACACAGAACAAGACATTCGTCATGTCTTGCCAAGGATTCTTTTGGTTAGGAATGCCTCCCCACGAGATAGAGCCAGTCCCGGCCACTTTAGGCTTCAATTGCATGTGCTACGAACGCCAGGCGGTCCTCGGGCATTCGAGGTAATGTACCGATGAACCTCTTGTGTGCCCCTTCTGAGCAGGAACCATCCGAGCTGCCGCGAGAGAAAGTGCTGAAGGACGAAAAGATGGAAATTATACTCTCCAGTACCATGTACATCGTGCGAAGTACATGAAACGCTCCCTTTCGGGAGTGTGGTGGCTTGCCTCCCGGGAACCTCTCAAGAGGACCATCACCCAGGGCGTGATCAAACAGGGAACAGGGAACAGGGAACTCGGAATTCCCCGTCTCCTGTTTCGTGTCGTTGTGTCTTAACATACAACACCGCATTTAACGGTGTTTGCGAACATCTGATTCTGGTCTTGTCAACGTCTGCTTTATTCCCCCGAGCGCCGAAGTCCGATGGATCTTTGGGAATCTGATTTTGTGCTTTCGCGCATTGCCCCCAAAGACCCGAGAAAGGCTCCGATTTTGTCTTGCTCAGTTTTGTCTTTGAAAGAACAATATTTCATTGGCCTCCACACCAGTTGTTACCTCGCAAAGCGCGCAGAGGGAGCGGAGGACTCCACCATATCTGTCGTTGATTTCTATTGACTTGCAAATCCCTCGGGGCCAGCTTATTTGAGTGTACCCTTTAAGCGTAAGTTACCCTGTGACCACGGGAATCCACCGCGGTAAGTGTTGGATCAGTTGTTGTTGTTGTTGTTGTTGTTGTTGTTGTTTTCTTCACATAAAACTCGTGTCAGTTGCTACTCCCAAAATCTAGCAAAGACTCGGTTCGTGATCACAAAAATGCTAGAGCCATCACAAGATCTAAAGAACACATACACTATTAGCAAGAAAAGGGTACACAAGCCCGAGGAGGTACACCTACAATCCATGCAGCACGTTTGCGTGCTCACAACTGAACGACACGCCAGTACCGACATATGAAGGTACTGGGTGGAGAGAGATCGGAACGGTTTTCAATGTGAAAACAAAAACAACAACAACAACAACAACAACAACAACAACAACAACAACAACACCCCGAGATAATCCCGACGTCCTCCCGACACACGCCGCACCATCCCGTGGAGCTGCCCAAACACACACAACTCGGCCGTCATAGGCGACATCATGGCGAATCAACTACAGCAGTACCGCCAGACAGACAGTCAGACAGACGTCACTACACCGCAGACCCGGTGCGCATTTCATCCTGCCGACATGGTGCAACTTTTGCGTCGTCTTAATTGTCTATGCGTGTACCGAAGCAACCGCTCCACCTGCATGCTCGTGAGCGACACATCAAGCCGGCGTGAGGAGCGTGAGGCGGTGAGGCGGGCGGCGTAGATCTCAGGGGTGCGGCACGGGTGGAGGCGGAGGTGATGGAGTTAGAGGAATGCTTCAAGCAGCGTGGGAGCGTGAGGAGCCGCAGCGCGTGCGTCCTGTGGACCGCGCTGCGGTGATTCTTTTCACGGGGACGATCTTCGTCGACGACTGACTGCGATGTGTATCACCACTTGTTCGCGTGCTGAAGGGGCACAGACTTGTATTCCTCCGCTGTTTGCGGCGCTACGCTTCCCATGCACTCCCGGCAACTGAACTGGGCCAGCCGCCTGTTCATGAGTACGTTGCTCCACGAGTATCCTCCATGACTACTTAATTAGCTGGAGGTGTGAAAGTTTAGTAGAGTAGTCGTGGCCTTGGGGTGGAGGCGGAAGCTCGGAAATTAAAATATTTTGTGTTCCGAGTCGGCTCAACCATCTGCCTGCCGCCGACGGCAAAGGGGCTCCGTCGTATTAAACGCAACGTTTTTGGTAATTTTCGTATGCTCAATACCGTAAAAACCACACTCCAGCCTTCGCAAGCAGTTTTGAAACACAATTCCGGTCTTGGTTTTGGACACCCTTCCGACTTCCAAGACCAAGACCTAAGACCAGTCTGCAAAAACGCTACTTCCAGGAACATGGAACATTTCTCGCGCGTGCTGGCGCGCGTGCGGCCCGCAGGTCCTCAAAGGCAACAAATGCAACCATGAGATGCAGAAAGACGATTGGGGGGTAGAGGAAGGAGGAGGTGGTGTAGGTTTCGAAGGAACCTGTCGACGAGCGCACATCAAACACATGTGCGAGGTATCAGCTGGAACAGGTGGTGCAGATCATGCAATCCGCACTTTCGAGAGTGCCCTGCAAGACTTGCTTATTGAGTTGTGGTCATCGGCAGATTGCTGCGTCTTCTAAACCTTCTTTTCACCCATACAATCGTAATGATGGCTTTGGTTGGGCGTTCTTCATCGTATGTCCACGGACTCATTCTCACAGCACTTCAGACAGCAGCTCGATGCCCCGAGCTTNTAAATGCGGGACAAGGGGGGTGATGCTGCTGCTGTAGTCGATTTGTAGTGTGTGGGCGTGTAGTTCAGTTGTGAGCATGCAAACATGCTGCAGGGATTGCAGGTGTACCTCCTCGGGCTTGCGTACCCTTTTTTTGCTAATAGGGTGTGTGTTCTTAAGATCTTCTGATGGCTCTAGCATTTTTGTGACCACGGACCGAGTCTTTGCTAGATGTTGGGATTAGCAACTGACACGAGTTTAATGTGAAGGATAACAACAACAACAATACAACCGCTACACAAGCATCCGCCGCCGTTTTTTTTCATGCAAGAGACTTGATGATGGTGGCAATGCCCATACGACTTGGACTGGTAGCATGCAGCACCTGTGGCAGCCACATGCCCGAGAGTGATCACACACTTCCCACCACGTCCTCCATTGCCACTGAAGAGCCCATGTTTCACGTTCCCTATGGTCATCAGAAAGGTGGACGGGCACTACACGGCCCTAGGTTTGCTAGAGGGAGCTGTATTGCCTCAGTAACCTGACTTCGCCATCAAAGGAGGAGGGAGCAGGTGGCGACGAGCTGAACTAGGCTGGTCGACCATTCGGCGCGAGAATTTTTATTTTTTTCAGACCAAGAACCTTGAGTGCAACGAGGGAGAAAGCGAGGAACGGATTGGGAAGGACAGCAACGAGAGCGNCCGAATGGAGCAATGGCACCGGAGCATGCGGGCGACATCGACCCGTGGCGCACGGACAAACATTTCTGTGTTACCAATTTTTTTCGTTTTTTTTCTGACTTTCCGTGTTGATGTTGTGTGATGACATCGTCACCGTTTTTGTAGAGAGACCCGTCAGAGATGGCGTGGCTAACCCGGTTGCATTGATTTTGTGCCTGATCGTGGAAGACCCCTTCAATGTGGAACGATTCTTAGCTAGTGTCGATATTTTTCACTGCAGTGCCTACACAGACGATCGGGAGAGATTCGGGTGATTGTCAATTGCTGCTATGATGGCTTTGGTTGGTTGTTCTTTTTCACTGTACGGCCGCGGATACATTCTGACAGCACTTCAGACAGCAGCTTTGTGCCCCGCCAGCTGCTTGTTCGATGCCTACCATGGTGTTTTTGTACAGACAGCACTTCAGACAGCAGTATGCTGTAGTCGGCAATCGAACGGTGGGACGGACGTGCAGTTCAGTTTTTGGGCACGCATACGGTGCTGCAGGGATTTTTAGGGGTACCTCTTCGGGCTCTTGGATACCTTTTTCTCGTTATATGTGTGCGTGTTCTTTAGATCCTCAGATGGCTCTAGCACTTTCGTGACCACGGGCTGAGAGTCTTTTGCTAGATATTGGCATTTAGCAACTGACATACGGTTTAATGTGAAGACAACAACAACAGCAACAACGGTCTGTTGGCTAATTTTAACTCGCGAGGGAGTAAAAATTACTGTGCGGCGTAACGACCCCAAACAGGGAACGTGTGTGGTACTTCTTGCTTCGAGGAAGGTTCTCTTGTGTGAGCAATCAGACAATTATTTCGAGTTCCCTGTTCCCGGTCCAGGAAAGTGACGTTAAGACACGCCCTCTCATAGGTTACTACGACAACGGCGGATGTATCGGTGTATCTCAGCCTTGATTGCCGCGGTTTCCGTACAAACTGCCGATTTAGCTCGAATCGTGTTGCGGGGAACTTTCTTTCCGAACAGCAGGGATTCTTCGCGTAAGGATGGTGAATGTATGCTTGATGTAGGGTTGCGGCGTCTCTGCCACAGCAGTTCCTACGGCTGTAATGTAAGTCTTACGCAGCGGCTACGTATTGAACTATGTACATTCCGGGGTTATTTGCGGCCGTTGCTCGAGATGTCTGCGCAGATTCTTTTGCGAGAGATCCGTTCTGGCCTCTGCGGGTAATCGGAAAAGGGGGCCAGCTCGGGTCATTACATGTACCTCGCGAAATGGTGGAAATCGGGAAATCATCTCGCAAGGTCGATCGGCCGGAGATTGCTGATATGCAGGTGGGTGTGGTCTGCAGCAGCAGCTGGTGATCACATTGCCGCAACCTGCTGCTCTTGGTCTCTCTCTCTATATATATATATATCTTTCTCACCCATGTTGGTGCCGTTTTGCTCATGGCGTGTGTCTTGCGCAGGAAAAAAAAACTGTCAATTCCTGTCTGGCTTCTTCGTGAGCAGTATGCCGCAAAGGCTTTTTTGGTTCGGACTGGCTAGAGAGTCCGTGGCGGCCGGCTTTAGGCGTCGATTGCACGTGCCACGGGTGGCTGGCGGTCCTCGGCCATGCGCCGTTGTGTACCGACGAGCGCCCCGCGCGCCCCTCAGTGGGAAGCGTGAGAAAAGACTCGTTGCCGCGAGCGCAATATATTCCCTAGTACAACAGGCATCGAAATGATAAATGTACAATGACGTGGTTGCTCCTGCTGGCATCACAAGACCTTGGTGACGGCGGGAGTGGTTTCAACCTACTGATACCTCGGAGTACATACAAAATGTAGAACACTGGACCATAGCATGTATGGCAAAGACGATGAACCTTCGGAGCCTTCAGCAGAACGTGTGTTCGCCGTGGCTGTTGTCCATAAACCGTGGGACATATGCTAGCGGAGAGAGAATGAAGAGATGGTCCGGGCAAAAGGAAAAACTCTGCAGAAGAGACCAACGACCGTTACAGGCCTTCCAGCAAAGAGAGCAGCGGGCAGCAGGGTTCCACGTCAATCAGGACCGAGAATTTGTTCCAAGACGACAAGGGACGGGGCTTCAACGAGTCTCACTCCATCGCATGCAATGATGCAGGCGCAACGCTTGTCGTAGACGAAAAAAGAGAGAGCTGAGGTGATGTGATGTGCGCGGGTACGGTCGGAGCTATGTGCGTATGTACAGCAGCAGCAGCAGTCCATGCTACTGAATCAACATGTATGCACACGGTGTGTGTGCGCATTGTATCGAATGTACGCGTAGTTCATGGTGGGGGGCGTGCCACGACACAAACGAACAGGCATCTATCTCTTGTTGCGAAAACACCTAAGGGGGGCGCCGTTTATTAAGACCTCGAAAATCAGTGCACGGCAGACAGCCCATCTCCGCACTCAACAGGCATCTCCTCCTCTCTCCTCGAGCGGAAATTCGTCTGCCCTCCACTAAAGTGACCCACTCATGCGGAGGTGAAAAATCAAAACTCCGGGGCAACAAATTTGCTTGGACATCTTTCGGTTTGTGCATATGTACAACCAAACGAAGATCATCTCTATCGGTGGCCTTACAGTAGTTCCACCACGCGTCGCGATGTATGTCATGGTAAAGCCCACCCGTGGACAACTTGTTGTGATATGTTGCTATTGTCCTAAAATCAACCAAGAGTAAAAGTTTCGTTCAATTTTTGGGGTTTTCTTCTCGAGTCTAAACGACATTTCGCTGGTTGGTTGTTGGCCGGTGTATGTACATCCCTCTTTAAACTGAAGCGACTTGAACTGAACCGTGCAGCAGTCAGTGTACAACAGCAGCAATTGAACAGTAGGGTCGGGACTTCGGCTGTTGAACGTGCAAGTATCCTTGCTCAGCTCGGGGGGGCGAGTCGGTATCGGGAGAGGACGAAAAAACAAGTCCCAAAACAGCGCAACCGCAGGCTACGACTTGTAGTCATACAGAGAACATATCTGTGCATACTGCTGTACGTTCGAGGTTCTATCCATGGTCCTTATCGTACAGAATTTAATGGGCTGCACAAACGCACAATAGAAGTTTTTGTACCTAGGTGTGCGAGACGGAGAAGGGTAGGTGGCAAGTGCAATCCGAGGCAGTGCGAGAAACCAAGCAGGCAGGGAAGGGAGTTGCACAGAGATACTGCTGTAGCACGTGCACATCAAAATACACAGGAGAGCTGCAGGGTGTTTTGTTTGCTTCTTCGGCAGTCAGATACCATCAAGTAGCCCCGTGCTAGAAAGCGAGTGCGGCGTGTGGTGCCCGGGAGTGATATGCGGCTTGACTTCCAGGGAAAAGCACCACACGGGTCGTGACAAACAGACGTATGAGGAGAAGGCCGGTGCTGCTGCTATCGACAATGTGTCCGGGTCGTATGCAACTTGTACCTACACTAGAATCCAGCGGGCGAGATAATTGCCGCGGAGTCGAGCGCCAGACATTTTTAGGAGGTATGGCACTGCACTTGGTTCCACGGCGGGTATGCAGCCACCGCTGCTGTACGTCGAGTATAGATATATCAAGTGGATCAGACGAACTACAGCAGTGCACTCACTGCTGTTTGTTTACAGACAAGTGGCGCTGATGGAGAAGAACTGCCATTTGTGCACAATCAGCTGCTCTGAACAAGAGACTACTTGGTGCTTGTTCATTTCGCGGCGCGCGGCTTTGGCGTATAGGTAGGTGCAGGTAGATGCATACGTGGCAAGAACTGCTGTAGTCTGTAGCTGGGACACGTGACTGCTGCAATATCAGTAAAACAGCCAACCTGTGAACAACCTCATCTCAGTGGAGGATGGAGAAAACACGTGGGCTTCGCCAGATTATAAACCAGCGCATGCTCTACCTTTATCGTGTTCCGCTGCTGTGTGCTTGTGTCATGTCATCCATGAATCAACAGCGGTCTGTGCCCTCACATGCATACACACGCATATCTATGCATGCATCGACCCTCCCGACAAGTTTTTGGCACATGGGGGCCTTTGAGTGTTGTGCTGCGGATGAACCAAGGTCGGGAAGGTGATGTTGCGTTCCTCATCCCAAGCCCCAACAAAATTGATTCTACCAAAGTGCCACCTGGGTTATAAGAAGGCAGCAGCTCGGCAAACCTACCGAGGAGGCGTAGAGGGGATTTGATTTCGATTTGTTGGTGATGCTTTCCTGTGCGGTTTCGCGACGGAGAGCGGGGCGGGGCATTGCCAACTTTGCTGAAGCAGGCAGTTCGGATACATAACGGAGATCTGGCTCCTCCACCGGCATCTTGAGAGTGAAGGGAGGGAATTCCAAGAGACAAGAAAGAGAGAGGCATAGGGGGCGCACGTCACGGAATCACACACACAAACACTCTCTACATAGCCAGCCATGTCTGCGTACACTGCTCTCGTGGAGAAAATGTCGGAGCTCTGGCAGCAGGCAGGGAAGGAATCCTTCCTTGTCAACAGCAGCAATCCATCGGCAGATATATATCTCCAAAAATAGAAAAATGCCACCAGACATCCCAAAAAGAGTTCAGGAGGCAAGAGACGTTGTTGTTGTTGTTGTTGTTGTTGTTGTTGTGTTGTTGTCCACGTGTGTCCTCATGACAAGTCCTCTCCAGACACAACCCCGCCTCACCCAGTACAAAGACGTAAGTGCACGTCAGGTTTCCTCCAACCGCCGCGTCGTCGGAGTAGTGCCAGCCAGACTCCTCCCACCCGACGCTCGCCCCTCCGCCGCCCCCGTCCGTTGCCCACATCTTGGCCAGTTGCTCGATGGCGGCCTGATTTATAGCTACGTGTTGTGCATTCGAGCACACGGTTGTCGTGGTTCGTCTGACCGCCGCGAGGGGATTGATGGCCGGCGGCAAGGGGACCCAGTTGTCTTGGTTGCGGGAGCTCATGCCTGTCAGGAGGAGGATTAGGAGAGGGTGGGAACGTGGGAACGAGGATCGAAAATGGGGAGAGAAGAAACAAGGGTGCGAATATGCTTTGGTACGTCGAGTGGGTGGGAGCACAAACAGAGGAGGTCTGCCCCTTGGAGATGGTCCGCAGAAAACATACTACAGCAGTTACTTGTAAATAGGACAAAGACATGAAGCTCAAAAAAAATTGAGTGATGAGAGATGAGATCTTGTGTTCTCGTTGTTGCAGCAAGGGAGGATGGAACCTCAAAACTTGAGCAAGATGAAAAAGTACGCGACGAAGAGGCAGGGGGATGGTGTGCGCCGCCAACTCGTCCTGTTGAACCTTTCCAGCAGCAGATTGAAAAAGCGAACACGGACTGCTGTATATTTTGGTTCACCTGCCGCCGACAGATGAAGACGAAGAAGATGAACCACGAATCGATTCTCTTCTGATCATGCGATACACGGGGAGGAATTATGCGGGGGGTGAGGGGGGTCGTAGTTTCAGGTGCCTCATCTGAGCTGCTGAGCCGTATACATGCACGGTGGTGTTGCCATGGGCAGCTGCAGCTTGTTACCGTTCCACCACTGACCGCCCGGTCTGCTTTCTTCATTTCCTCAACCCCGCTGTTAGTTCCTCATGTGTGGGCTGGCCGCGATGCTCCGCCCTTTGCGAAAAAGCGTTGTCATTCTGGCGGTAGCGGGAGGGTGCTTGGGAGACAAAATGCCAGTTGGCAGGCGTGAGGAGCTCCGGGAGGAGGTGCTGGGAGCGTTTCACCACGCCTATCAGTCATACGTCACCTATGCCTGTGAGAAGAAATATATTGTCATCAACGTTGATTCTTCTTGCTTTTCTTCCCGAGCAGTCCCACTACTTTGGAATGTACAAGAGTGAAACCTGTTTGTGCACCTTAGGTCCCAGCGAGGGCATTTGTTCGGCGATTTATTATTCACGGGAAGTACTGCTGTAGGTCGCGTGGGTGCTGCTGCTGCTGCTGTGACTTAGAGGGCACCCATTTTGTATCCTTTATCTTTTGTCTTTTAGGAAGTTCACTCAGCAGTCCAACGGAAACCTATTCATATGTACAACAGTAGTGTACCCACACAAAGCACTGGTGTATGTTCGCTTTTCGCTATTCGGGAAGTGCTGCTGCTGTATACATGTAGTAGCGGGGCAACACGTACCGAAGCAGTGCAGCAGAGTTTGGGACTTCTTCACACCATTACCTGCTGCAGGAGGTACAGCAGTGTTGTTGTGTTTTGTGTGTTTTCGTCCTATCCATTATGGCGACAGGCCCCCCATTTTTCGTGGTGAGACGTGTACTACACTTTTCAGCGTATGTAGAGTACGACACTTTTCAGTGTATTTTTCCGTGCAACTACAAGCATCCAGGGTCACACAAGAGGGGGTAAACACCAGGGCGTTTTTTTCTTCTTTTTATTTCTCTTCACGCCCCACTTTGGTTATTGCTGAAGAATTCTGGTATTATTTTTCTACCCTATGCCGAGGTTAATCGGGAAAACGTACTCCGTGTTGACCTCAAAAAATACATACCCCATCTCATCGTGGGTACCATTCTTCTACACGTCTCACGGTATTCTCCTAATTTTTACGGACTCTGCCAACCTGGCATAAAAGTAACCCCCGCCCAGCGGAGGCTACTTGACTCTCATTCTCCATTTCGCAGGCAGAGGCCGTTGCTTACTTTTCCTTCTCCCTTCTGCGCTAGAGCCCTTGACACCTCTTTGGCGCCCTCCGCCCCCGTATCCCTGACATACACCATGAACGCCTGTGACTTCCACCTGCCGGCGTGTTGGATTTGCAACGCCGACAGGCCCTGCGCTGCCATCTGAGTTGCAGCGCCGATCCTTCCCGAGTGCAACGCGAAGTGTGCAGGGTTCAAGCCAATGCTTTCCACCATCACTCTCAACGCTGCTACCCCTTCGGTTCTAGTAATCACTCGCCAACCGCTCGGCGTCTGCCTGGTCAGCAGAGGTGCATTTCCCGGGAATTCGGGGTGCACGTCCAGGATAGCCACCACCGCCTCGAACGCGCCTACCGGTACCTCCCCGTCGGGTCCTAGTGGGCTACGCCCGCGGGTGATTGAACGACCATCTCTGTTCTGATCCCCTTTCGATGCAATGAAATCCACCTGCACGGAATCAGCCAGGGCTCGGTCCTCTATGCCCACCCGCTCTGTTCCCCGGTAGAAAGTCAGACTGTTGCGTGTCAGGCAGAATTCCGGGTGCACTAACCCGTCCGCGTACGCGAATAATTCGGACGCACGGCAAAGCAGAAAATAGGTCAAGGCTAGACCCAGCCACATCACTCGCCCTCCTTCCTTGAACTCTGAGACAGTGAGGTAACCCTGGGCTAGCATCGACCATGTGAGGGGCAACCTTACTTGGGCCTTTTTTCCGACGCCCCCGCGAATTCTTGCTATCCCCTTCCCCGCCGCCACAATCAAACAGTGAGAAGTTGGTACCTCCCACCCTAGGTGCAGCTTGTGGAAAAACTTTACAGCGGCCAGGTACCCCCTCACCGTGGAAAGCTGATTGTCGAAAGCGAACAAACGGCAGGCCATGAACTCCAGCAACGTATTAATAACGACCGCCGCATCCAAGAGGTGCAACCACGGGCCCATCCCCTTGTTACTCATGAACTTCGTCCACGCTTTCCACTTAGCAGCATAGAGCTGGTGCGTGGCGCTCCCGACGGACGCTTGCACCATTGCATCCACCAAAGCCGTCGCCTCCTCCGTCCTCCCCCCCCCCAATTCCCTGTTCCTGTGGCATCCAGCGAGTACGAGTGGATGACTAGTGATTTTTAGGAAAGGGGTACGGTTCTCGTGAGGGCGTGTGAGGGTTGTTCGGCGGTAAGCAGTTTCCACAACATGTTATCGTGGCGAGTGGTAATGTTCTTTGTCTGCAGTACTATCTCGCAGAGGCGTTCTCCTGATTCCCCGATCGACTGTTCGCGCCAGTCATCTGTGTTAGTCAGCTGCCTCACTTTCTCAGCTAGCTCTGCGCGGGGCCATCGGGAGATGCCGTCCGCTAGTGTGTTCTCAACACCCGGGATGTGTTTTGCGTCGTATCTCCAACCCCCCCTGATTTCTAACCGGCCCATTGTTCTCATCATGAGGCCGGCGCGCTTGTCTCTCGCGCCCCCGCATCGGTTTGACCAGGAAACTGCAGCGAAGTTGTCTCCGCGCATGAGGATCGGGTCACCCCTGATTTCTGGGCGGTCCCCCACTAATTCGTGCATCACCCACGCCGTCATGACCATCCCGACAAGTTCAAGCAGATTGATCGTCACGCTACTCGTCTCGCGGCACGCGGCCTTGCGTTTTAGTTCTGCCGAAAAGTCTAGTGGGAGGTCGTACCTCCAGTACGTTCGAAGTTCTGTGCAGTAGCCGCCTATGGCGTCGAAGCTGGCATCGGATAAGTATTTTCTCTTCGGTGGGCGCGCAAGTTGTACGAAACACGGGGCGCTCAGGGATTCCCCCGCAGCTACGAGCTCATGCTGGATCGCCCATCGCCAAAACTCTAGATCAGCGTGGAACTCCTTCCCGAGATCTACGATGTGGTTCTGGTTACCGTTCGCAGTGTGCAAGCCTGTAAGGCGCAAGAGCCGCCAGACGAAGTACTTTCCAGCTCGAATCACAAACGTCATGTTCCAAAGTTTTCCAGCTATGCTGAAAACCTCTTGTGCGGTCGCTTGCCGCCTATCTTTTGGCCACTCGTTTTCCAGGGCTGTTTTTAGTGCCTGCGCCTTCTTTTCTGGCACGGAGATAGTGAGGGCGTGAGAATCGATGGTAAACCCCAGAAATTCAAGTTTGGTATCCCAGTCCGAACTCTTCTTTGGGGCGAGGATAGGCGTCTCTCCAGCTTCGTGACCGAACGCACGTACGTAATCGGAGGCGAGGGACTGGGAGGCGATCAAGGCAGAACGGTCGGTATCGGAAAGTTGTGCTCTGAGCAGTGCGTGATCGTCGACATAAACCCAAGTCTCGAAAGGGCTGTTCAGCTCGCCCCCTGTACTCGGCCGAATGACGACATCGCTGGGTACCGGCGTGGGTTCTCCCTCTTCCCACCTATCCACAATCTTCACATGCTTCATCATGTCTACTCCTTCTGGAAGAATTTGTGCCGTGCTTAGGTTGGTATTGCGGTGTGCGTGTTCAGCCGCCGACGCCGTGACTCCGAAATGTCCAGGGGATCCCGTCCACCCAAACGGGAGTCTCAAGTCCACCACCAGCAAGTCTCCTAGGGTGTAGCCAAAGTTGTGTGCTTGGTCTGGATTTATCCGGACGTTGCGAAAGGCATCGTTCACGTCGGTGGTGGCCATGAGCAGGCGTAGCTTCGGGCATTTGGCTCGCAGGCTGACTAACGCGGTTAGGAAACCGGGCAAGGCTCCGGCGCACAGGCACGGCGGAATGGTATCTGCATTAGTGTCTGCGTTGAGACCCCCCTTTGTTGTTCTGTCTGTTGGGTTAAACGAGAGGTCGTTAATCACTCTAGGCTTGTGCGTCACCACCACCCCGACAGGCGAGACTCTAAGGTTAGGGATCTCGTGAGCTGAAGTTTTCTCCAACACCAGGCACCTTTCCCTGCGTACATCGTTTCCAAGTTTTTCCCAAAGTAACGGCAGGTGTCCGTCTGCTGAGGAGTGATTACCGTAACGCAGCGCACGCTCTAAGTCTGTGCTTGAGGTCTCGGTGATAACCGGCACGCCCCCCGTAATGATAGTCATCAGTTCTTCGATTTGTGGAAACCCCTTCCGCCTTCCGAAATAGTCTCTGACGGCTGCGGGGTCTACTGGGGGGGTCACCATGTTACCACCCAAGCAGCGCGCTACGTCGCCTATGCGTCCTCCGTGTTCGCGCATCATGCTCGTTCCCGTTTTTGCGAGAAGGTAGAGGATGCGCTCTCTTTCTGTCTGATCGAGTTCTGGGTTGTTGAGGGCTTCTTTTTGTTCGTGCCATCGAGAGCTTCTCTGCGACCTATCACTCGAAACCCCTCCATATCGAGGCCATCGAGCCGACCCGTGATCCCAACGAGCCCCGATTTTTGGGAGCCTGCTGAAGCTACTGGTTTTCTCGTTTGG